TTTTGTTTATTTATTATTTCTCCTATCAGAACATATGTTCCATAAGCTTATCCTCAGTAGTCATTGTTGTTTAATGAATGAAGAAATGAGAGAACCCGGGCAGAGAATGTCTGCTTACTTCAGGAAGCTCCTCTTGGCCTTTTGAGATGTATTCAGCACTCTGCACTTCCCCTGCAGGATTTTAGAAGGAGCTTTAAAGCCTGCAGCAGTCTGGGCTAATGGAGTGGAGGAAAGGTTAGAGCCAAAATTTTTTCAATGGAAAATTAAATCTGCTCAGCAAGAGTCTAATGAAAAACAGAGGCTGGCCTGAGGGAGGCTGGAGCTGGAGGGAGTGTCCATCTGGATCCCACAGGCCTCTGGATGTTGAGAGGTTATTCTTAGCCATTTTTTCTTCTATCATTATTTTCTCTTAATCAGAGCTCTTTTGATTTTGCAATTGGAGATTTTACCCTCATTCTATAAAGCAATGATTTTTCATATAGTAATTCTTTCCTTCTTTAGACTTCCCCGAGGGGCTCAGTGGTACTTTTTTTGTGCTCAAACACTTTGCACATTGCCTTCCACCTACCTCTCCCCCAGAGCTTTTATGGCTGATGGAGACCTATTCTGTGTGCGGGGATTTGACTCTCGTTCCTTGTTTGTTTACAAAGAACTTAACCATACCACTCTCCTTGATGATTATTCTTAGTAACAGCAACGTAAATACATTTGCTGCTCTTCCTCCCTCTGCTTCATGTGTCCTGAAATCTGCTGAATTAATTTAACTTGAGCTTTAACAGGCAGAAAAACCGAGGGCAGGTGGCCAAGCTTCAGTCCTTGGGTCCTGCGTCATAATCATAATCACTTGCATTGACACAGTGCTCTGTAGTTAATAAAGCACTTCCACACTCAGTAGCTCTTTAGTTCTCTGAGTGACGGAAGACAAAGTCTCTGGAGTTTGGTGACATCCCCAGCATCATGTTGCTAGGAAGAAGAAAGGCCTAGGTTTGAACTTGCTTTTCTGATGCTAAAACCCTTACATATTTTTTTCAGCCCTTGTAGGGTCACAAAGTCAAATGCCTTTGGGGCCTGGTAGATAATCCAAATGTGAGAAGGTAGCTGGAGTATAATACATTACAACGGTCCCCAATCTTTTTGGCACTAGAGACCGGGTGCTCTTATGAGAATCTAATGCCTGATGATCTGAGGTGGAGCTGAGGTGGTGATGCTAGTGCTGGGGAGTGGCTGCAAATACAGATGAAGCTTCACTTGCTTGCCTGCTCACTTCCTGCTATGCAGCCTGTTCCTAACAGGCCATGAGAAGGTTACTGGTCCACAGCCTGGGGGTCGGGGACCCCTGCATTAGAGAATAGTGAGAACTGTGGAGATTGGAAAGCATGTCTTGCCTAATGGCATCAAAATGCAAAGCATTTAAAAAGCAATTCTAAAAAACATTAATTTTGTTGCCTATTCAGCAGCTAGTCTATAATTTTACCTCTTTGTTGGTAGAAAAGGGAGGACATGTGAACAGTGTCACCTTTACCACTGAGTAGCATTGATTTGGTGGCATGGGTAAGTATGACGATGATTGTGTGAGTCTACAGTATAGCCGAAGCAGTATGGTAAATTGAAGATTGAGTGATTCTATTGCTTTTAGGATAGAATTACAGATGTACAGATCCTGGACCTCGGGTTTTCAAGGGGTAAGATTCAAAGTAATATATTAATGGTTGTGTGAGTTCCTGATGCCCTAACTCACAGCCCTGTTTGAAGATTCTACTCCTCCTTCTCTACCTTTTTCCTTTTCCTCCCTCTCTCATTCCTTTTTAAATTTGTGAACAGAAAATGGGCTATGAAATAAAACCTGACAAGTTCAGGGGGCCATGTGGTAGGCCTGACAAACTCAGTGACCAAAAGTAACCACACAGGGTGATCTGATTATCTGCTGGGCAGGTCACAGTTGGTAGTCATGTCCCAGGACTATAGCTTCTTTAGCAAAGACCAGTCTTTACCTTAAGTGAGTCTAGTCCACTGTTCTTATGCAACTAGGATAACATTTCTTTGAAATGTTGGAATAGTTTTCTTTCCAGACCCACTGAAGGCATAACTTCAGCTACCAGAGCACTAGACCACAGAACCTCTCATTGTTATCTTGTTCCCCATATACCATTTCTATGTGCTGTAAATGTTTATTAACTATCCTGTACCCAACAACTAAAAAAAAGTATTTGTCTCTCCATTTTACTTTTTATCTAATCCCAGAGATTTCCCTGCTTTGCTTTCTCTCACCCCCTTAATCTATCACCTGTGGATTTCATGTAATGCTCCTTATACCTCTCCTTTAATTCTAATACATAAAAGGAACTGCAAAACTGCCATTCTCTGGAGCATTTTCTCAGTCAAATAAAAACTTCTCTTTCGAGGGGAGTTAGGAAGGGAGTAGGCTGAGGTGGGGCTAGTGTGGGAATAGGGCTGAAGTATATTCCCTACTCTAAATAGACCAGTAGTGGAGACTGTGGCCCCAGAGAGCACAGCTCTGCTACCTACCAGCTCCATGACCTTGAGCAAGTTATTTCTGCTCATTCCTCAACATCTTCATCCATGAAACATGGATAAATGCAGTGGTGATGAATATTAACTGAGATAAGGCATGCGTAGAGTTCACTAAATATTATTTTTGTTGTTTTGAGTTCTGTCTCCTAGCCATCCTCTTCCTTGTGTTAGCTAGAACCTGAGAAAGCCTTCAACTGCTGGCAGAAGGATTATGAAGAGAATAATTCATACAAGAGACTGCAATATTCTGGCATTTTTCCTCTTCAGAACTTGCCACCTTCCCAATGCCCTGATTCCACCTTTTTTTCTTCTACTCCATAACCTCAGATGGTTCCAGTGAGCTGGAATCCTGGACAAGGTAGCTGAGACTCCTCTGGATATAATTTGGCTCTCAAATATGCTTTTTGTGTGTGTGTGTGTGATTTTTGTCTAAACATTCTCTCAAACTTAACTGTCATTCAGTTGAAATTTTCCCTAAGTTGTTGCTTTCTCATTCAGCTTCTTGAGAGACAGAAAATTTAAGAAAGGAGTTTCTTTTATTCAAATACAACATGGCTTTAGTCACCCAATCAATAGTGGGCTGAATGTTCCCCAATTTTAGAGTTTGTTTTCTTTGTGTGCCTTACATATACCAATGAAAAATAGTTCATAGTGGACATTGTCTAGGCATAGAATTAGGTTGTTATTAGTGTGAAGATTTAGGTTCTTATTAATGGGCAAAAGTAGAATCAAGAGGCTATATGATAGGCTTATAAGCTCTGATTTTTAATTTTTACCCACGTTTCTGTCGAGACCAAGTTGACAGAGTAGGAGAAAAAGCATGGATATTTCTGAAATGCAGATCATCCACAAGTTACTTTACATGCGTTTTAGCATGGAGTCTATATATTCTTGGATGATCTCTCTCTCTCTCTCTCTTTCAATCTCTCTCTCTCTCTTTCTCTCTCTCTCTCTCCCCTTCTCCTCAACCCCCACACTTCTTCTTTCCCCACATCTGTAGCCATCCCTCCTGGCTAAGCCCAGAAGGAAAATCATCAAAGTGAAGGGCACCATCCAGGAAAGTATGAAACCCAGTTTCTAGTTCCAGCTCTGCCATGTACAAACTCAGTGGTAGTTACCCCTCTGCGTCCCAGTTTCCTTAGATATAAAATAAGTAGGAGGTTGGGCCAGGTCACCTAGAACTAAAATAGCTCTAAAGTCCATGGATTCTACCTTTGCCAGCTTGGGGCGTGGTAGGTCTCAGCAGCTGTAACTTAGATAACCCCCAGAGCAGATAACTGACTGCAAGATAGCTGAAGGGACTCTACTCATAGTAGAGTCTGGCCACTTGAATAGATGCTGGTGACTTTGGCTGCTTCCTAGAGCCACCAGCCAACTCAGAGATGAAGATGGCTGGAAAAGAAGATGTTAAAAAGGCCAGTGTCATCTCCAAATACAGCGTCTGGGAGATGCCCATGTTCCCAGAAAGAGATCACTGAAAACTTTCAGCTGGTGGTGTAGTGCAAAGAGTCAGGTAAACCAAGTTTTGAATCCTGACTCTGCCATTTATACCAGCTGTGTAACCTAGGGGAAGTTCTGTGGCCGAGTGTCATTTTTCTCCTCCATAGAATGGGAGTAACAATAAATACACCTTGCAGAACTGTGGTAATGATTGAGGTAATAGAGAGGCCTAACAGTATCTACCAAGTATGGGTACTCAGAAGTACTTAGTAAATGGTAGTAGTAGTAGTTATTGTTATTATTCTGTGCCCTTTACTCAGGGGAATCTCTCTGGGGATGTGGGCCCCAGTGACTAGCTCAGGGCTCCACCCCATGGCTGGGAGGCATTGTTGGCTCCATGTCCAGGTCCAGCTATGGCAGGCAGTCTGGCACAGAGATGTTGCTGATTGGGACGCTGATTAAATTCCCCGCTTGAGGAACCTCAGCATCCTGGCCCAAAGCAGGAGGGCCGGCAACATGTACTACAATGTAGTGGAACCTAATTATTTTTCAAAATTGCCCCTTTTAAGGTCTTGGCCCCTTTCCTCACCTATCTCTGGCCCCATCTCTCTGGATCC